TTTTTTTTTTGTTTTTTTTTTTTGTTTTTTTTTTTTTTTTTTTTTTTTTTTTTTTTTTTTTTTTTTTTTTTTTTTTTTTTTTTTTTTTTTTTTTTTTTTTTTTTTTTTCCTTGTAATTGTCTCTGGCTTTTTGCAAAAGATGCTGCGAAGCAACATAGGATCTCTTTCTCCATATTGCAGTGTTTTTTATTTAAAAAAATTTTTACCTTAAATATTTTCTTCCAGTGGAACAAGTAGCTTTTTATCTTGAATTCATCTGATTTTAAACTTAAATAGTTCAAGTGTAAAACATCGACAGAAAATTTGTAAAAACTAGATGTCATGACTTGGTGGATACATTTTGGCTCTAAATTAATGTTATTTTTACAGTGCCCCAAAAKTTAAATTTCAAATACTGTTGGTAGTCTATACCTTTTAAAATGCCTAAGATTAGACTGTTACACTAAACTAAACTTTTGCATCTATGAATTGTTTAAGGAGACAAGATCAGAGGAAATAGCCTGGCAAAAAGTTTCCTGCTTTACAGGTTACTTCAGTTAAATAGGTGAGGATGTATGTCACGTCTGTTTCCATTGTTTGTAGTGTGAAATACASAGAGAGAGTATAGGTATGATAAATGTATCTGTGAGTTAAGAATTTTTATTTAATATGATCATTTTTAGTTAAAAGGGTAGACTGGGGGTGTTGGTCTCACAATTTTTGCTGCTGATTAAAAGAAATTGTATTTGTCATGGAGAGAAGATCAAGATGAAGATAAATGCCCAGGCGATCTATACTACTGCCATCTACAGTATAGAAATATTCTGCAGGTGTTTTGGCTTTGCTTTTTCAAATGATGTGATTATACTACACTGATAATCCAATAACTCTTTATTGTTTGGATTATGTTAAATAGTGGCTAATAAACACTTGTGAAGTTGGCAGATTCTGTTAGCATAGGAAAATCTTCATTTAATTGTTTTTGCACTTCATTCTTGGTGGGTTTTTTTTTGTTACTTCTTTAGTTCTTAAACTAATGTTGAAATAAGCCAAATCTAAAGGGAATGAGAAAAATTTGATGCCAGTCTGTGAAAAAACCCAACAAAGACAGAGGTTAATTATAGGGTGATTCACTTAAAATTGATCCTAATGATACTGTCTTTTAAATCAGATTGATTTTGCCTAAGCATATGTTGTAACTCATATTAATTGTATTAAAGTCGGTTAATGAATCCAAAACCCTGTCAGTAAGGAGGGAACTTTCAAACCTTAAGGAAGGTTCCTTCATTGCTGCATGGCAGGAAGTTCTTGGTTATTGGCTTTAGCTCTTGGGACAAACACATTGCTCCTAATAAATCTCTAAATCTGATAGAAAGAGATCACTAACTGTTAAATTGTTTGGCAAATTGAACTTGAAAGTATTTGGATAGAGCCAAATGTGTGATCCCAGGTCTAGAGACAAATACTGTGGGTGGCACTCACTGGTTAGAGATAATGGTTTTGAATAAAACAACCAGTAGAAA